GAAAGCGAAAATTTCACCTCTCTAAATTACCAGCTGCATTGAATCTGCTGTAATCTAGCGGCTAGCCTTGAAATCCAGCTGAATCCGTTGTAATCTTCGTTAGATGAGTGCGCTTAGCGATGCAGGCACGCTAGGTTCGTTGAGGAAATTCCTTGATACTAAGTGGGAATAGGGAATTGAGAATTGGGAGAAGTAAATAATGCCTACATCCATATGGCATTGAATCTTGTAGGTCCTGTAGTTTGTTTTATTGCTTGAGACTGTCATCTTTTGTACTCCAATATTTAAGATATAAATGCTTTGTTTTTGTCCCGTCTTTGATTTCTTATTCATTTTCTTTCTCTAATTCTAGTGCAAAAACGTCTGCCTGGGAAAATATGAGCTCTTAGCTTTTATAATAGACTAGGATGATTTTTGTTTGTCTGAGTTTGATGGACCTTTGGAGCAGGTTCTTCCCTGATAAGGCTGCATCGCTGGCATTTGACATTCTTGAAGTATTAGTTGAGGTTAGTACTATATTTTATTTGAAGTGCAAAATTAAAAACCATTGTTTAAGCTACCTAAATACTTAAGTAACTGTTGAAATATACTTTCAGGAGCTAAAGATAAAGAGATGCCCCATAGTACTTGCATCATTTTCTGGTGGACCTAAAGCATGCATGTATAAGGTTCTTCAGGTAAAGCTTTGCCATGTTTATGTATTATTATATTATAGTTTGCTCAAACCACAAAGTGTCATCCTGTTAAGGACGATCAACTTTTCTCTCACTCGAGCCCTCTATATCTTGGCAGATAATTGAGGGATACCATGAACTGCAGCAACATAGTCTGGTAAACTTCATTCTTTGCTGTTCAATCTTTCTTCCATTTAAAGTAAAGATATTATCATGTCAAGTAAGAAGAACCCGTGTTGGTTTTCTCTAAGTCTCTCAATTTGTTTATTGTAATCTGTGGCTGTATAGGATGGTTATCAACTGGTCAGGGACTGTATTGCTGGATATATTTATGATTCCAGTCCAGTTGATTTTACCAGTGACTTGGGAACTCGATTTTTTCTTCATCCGACTATGCTGAAAGCATCCCGGCCGCCTAGAATAGTATCATGGGCAGCAAATAGCTTGGCTTCCGGTCTTGATGTGCTCTTCCTCAACAGATTTGAATCACAACGTGCAGAATATTGGCAAACTCTATATGCCTCTGTTGTAAGCACTTTAGCATTTAGCATTTGCTGGTTTCAATTCTACTCCAATCTACTACATTCTTCATTCACCTAATGCCGTACTTATTCAGAGGATGAAAGCTCCTTATCTTATTTTGTGCTCGGAAGGTGATGATCTTGCTCCCTATGAGACAATCTTCAATTTTGCTCAACGACTACAAGACCTTGGGGGAGATGTTAAATTAATCAAATGGAATGGCTCCGCACATGTAGGTCTGATCCAAAACTTCTGCTTTCTGTATAAACAATCAGTACTCCTCTCATTGGATCATACTGCATTATAGAATAGTGATAAAATTCTTTCGTTTTCTCTTGCGATTTTTTCCTTGTGATCGGAGGCATTTACGAATACGCTGCGCATACATTGCCAAAGTTTGCAAGTGATCTGTTTGTTTTTCGTTAGCTGAAATTCTTCTCTTTTACCATGTCATTTCAGTTCTTCAAATGATTTTAATATGTATTGTAAAGACTCCTGAAAATCTTGTTCCATGATCACATATGACAGGGCATTATCTGCATTTTCCGATTGAATATGGAGCGTCTGTCTCAGAGTTGCTTAGTAAGGCTGCTGGAATTTACTGTCAAAGGATTAGACCCGATGAAGTAGTAACAGTAGATAAAATGAATCGTGACTCTTGCAAGACAACTCCCGACGTTAGAAAAGCTGCAGCTCCATCAAGTAGTTTTCAGGGGTCTGCTCTTGCTCCGAGTGATGACCACCTTTTCTTCTCCAGCATGGCAGATGGCTTCGAATACAGGGTTGTTGGTTCCACGCACGATGAACACAAGGAAGGAGTAATGCGGCTATCTAATTCACCGAGTTCCATTCCCCGTGGAGTTCTTGGTAAAATCCTCTACGACGTTTGTGTTCCAAAGAACGTCGAGGATTGGGATATCGGATCATCAAACTCTTCAAATGGTGTCTTGCGCGCACATAGAAGACGGCATTCCTCATTCAACCCGATCAAAATGATGCGTCGCTCGAGATTGTAGCCATTCATCACCGGAAAAGGCCAGCCGGAAGTCATTCCATCGAATGCACATCTTGCTTAGGAACACGACCCCTAGCAGAAAGGCAGAGACTTCGAATGTGCTGGTTAGTTCGAAACTTTGCCTCTAGGGGGACCTTTGGAGCAAGGAAAAATGCCAATGTAGAGTAGAGTCGCACTACAGCGTCCTTGAAAATCTGTAAATGAATGAGGAAAGTAAGTAATTAGTGATGTGAGAGCTCTTCAAATTCAATAAATTGTACGAAACTGCCATTTAAAAGCTTGAAATAAAATGGTGGATATATTATTATTACTAGTGGCTTCTTCAAAAAGTAACTTGAGAAATAGAGTGACGGGGAGAGTTAAAACTTTGCCACTTTGAGCTCCCTTATCAAACGATGACTGCAAATTTTCTTCCTTCACGTTTCGAACGAATGGCTTATGTAGCGATATATAATTTTGGGCATTGTACGGCGTTTCGTGCACTCGGAGAAGCTCAGTCGATTTTCCTTCGTGGGAAGTATGAAGATTCTGGTAACCGGGGCTTCTGGCTACCTGGGCGGAAGGCTTTGCCGTGCCTTATTGAATCGAGGCTACTCCGTCCGGGCTTTGATCCGTCCGACCAGTGATCTTTCCTCTCTTCCCCATGATCCTGCTGCTCTTGAGCTTGTTCATGGCGATATCACCGATTATCAGTCGCTTCTAGAGGCATGCTCGGGCTGCCATGTCGTCTTCCACGCAGCCGCACTGGTCGAGCCCTGGCTTCCCGATCCATCCAAATTCATTTCAGTAAGCACGCAGTTCTGTAATCTCTTACGTTTCTTTAATCGAACTCCCGTTTGGCTACCGAGAAATGAAGAAATTGAATTTTCGCGGAAAAATGTTTGAGTTCAGGTTCACGGATTTCGTTTTACAAATTAAAAAACAAAAGAAAACTAGTACTTTTGCTCTGGTTCTTGAATTCCGCAACATTCGGTTTCCGCGGATTATTGTGTTCATTAATGTTAGGTCAACGTACGAGGGCTGAAGAACGTGTTGCAAGCGGTTACAGAGACCAGGACAATCGAGAAGATTATCTATACGTCGTCCTTCTTTGCGCTTGGCTCAACCGATGGATATGTTGCCGATGAAAATCAGGTACTATTAGGGTTTAAGATTTCAGAAAATCATTCTTCCTCCTGCTGTTGCTCTTCATCAATGTTTTCAATTCTCTCTGAACGCAACGGTGATGTCAGGTTCATCACGAGAAGTTCTTTTGTACAGAGTACGAAAAATCGAAGGCCATCGCCGACAAGATTGCATTGCACGCTGCATCCGAGGGCATTCCGATAGTGCCGGTATATCCCGGAGTCATCTATGGTTCTGGAAAGGTCACGGCTGGAAATGTCATCGCTCGTATGGTAATGGCTGCTTTTTCCCTGTTTAATTTTGTTAGATTCATGTGGTGGCTCAAGTCGGTAGAAATAGCTTAACGAGCAAAAGATGAATTAGTAGGGGTGCACGTCGATCGGTCGACACGAAAAACCAACCATTCGGTTCGGTTGGTTGGAAATTTATGCTTTTCTAACCTTTGTACAAACTGACCGATCGACTGCTAGTAAAATGGGTCGATTTTGATCGGTTTTTGGTAGATGCTAGAGAAAGAGTAGATCATGTTGCAGCTGTGTGGCTGAAAAGAGCAAGTTGCTCTCTGCATTTTGGATTCATATCTCTATTCTTTAATTGCGGTATCAAAAAATAATGGATCAGTTATGACTGCTCAAATAAGTTTTCCACCTGCTTCGTACTTTAATTGTTGTTACTATAGTATTTGAATGGAGTTCATTAATCCTTGGAATTGCCTTTGGAGGAGCTCATTAATGAGGTGATTTTGTGCAATAGGGAGTATTTATTAGCGTTTCTAATCTTCATTAAGTTGATTCTTTTTGAAGTTATTGACCCTACCTGTGGAAAACATGGTCTATTCAAATGACTCTTGTTCTCCAATGCGAAGTTACTTTATTATCCAGCTTTAGAGATTCTTGTGAAACTGAAGTTGCAAGGTCTTCATTCTGGTCTTTTGGCAGAAATCAATGAACACTTATGATTATTTCATTGATCTTCATCTATTATGACTTGACTTTGCTTTCACAATGTGGCATTGGTGTTACTGTTTTGTTTATCTTGTCAGATGATTGAACGGTTCAATTGGCGATTACCCGGGTATTTAGGCCGTGGAAATGACAAGTTCTCTTTTAGCCATGTCGATGATGTGGTAGAAGGACATCTTGCAGCATTGCAGAGAGGTCGAGTGGGCGAACGATATCTTCTAACAGGAGAAAATGCATCATTTGTGGATGTTTTCGACATAGCTGCAGCTATAACTGGTACAAGACGGCCAATCTTCAAAATTCCTTTGTGGTTAATCGAAGCATATGGTTGGGTTTCAATTTTTATCTCTCGAATCACTGGAAAGCTTCCTCTCATCAGCCCCCCAGTATGTCATCCCACTCTTCCATTTCCATTATTCTTCTAGGGTAGCATACCGACCATAGAACACAGAATGCATTAGTTATAACTATTACTGATAGGCAACATAATTTATAGTTTAATTAATACTCCTTCTGTTATACTTTTTCAGACTGTGAATCCTTTGAGACATCAGTGGGCATATTCATGTGAGAAGGCGAAAGAGGAGCTGGATTATAACCCCAGAAGTTTAAGGGAAGGATTAGAAGAGATGCTACCATGGCTAAAGAGCTTGGGTTTGATAAAATATTAAGATGGATCTCTCTTACTGCGCTTCCGCTTCTCTATTTAGAATAAGCTGGTGAGGGTTTGAGAAGTAAAATGTGGAATATCAGACGGACGGACACAGAAAATATCCTACCCCGTTTATTAACGATTTTATTTTTAGTTTTCTGTTTTGTAAATATATGTTTGTTTTCTCACCATTTTTTGAGTATCTTTTTCATCTTTGTTTATCACATGAATGAATTCTTAACTAATTGGAAATAGTTTTTTTTTTGCTTTCAAAATTTGTCTTAAATTTTAAAAATGATTTTATAAAGTTGATAACAAGAATAGTGGTTTTAAGGTTAAAAATATAAATTTTCAAACAAAATGTTATCAAATGGGACCATAATTTTTAGTGCTTCCTTAGAATTTTAAGAAGTGATCGTAGGCTTTTCATAATGAAAAAGTAGTTTAATAAATTGTAAAAATTGTTATTGTTTTTTTTTCTCTACATTTAGATGAAAACTTATCATTTTAATTAGTTTTATTACAAAGCTGCTTGTGAAACAAAAATTTCACCTAAAAATAGTTTTACAACAGATATCTCAAACTACCTTTATCTTTTAATCCCCGTTTGATAGTTTCTTAGTTTTGTTAACAGCTGTTGTATTGACCATCTTCATGATTTGATAACACTTTTTTTAATAAAACAAAAGATAAACGTTTTTATTAAACAAATCTGTTAGCTTTTGAAATATGGGTATGGCTTTAAAAGCGATTTCGTTCGAGTATATGATTAAACTAAATGAACAGTAAGCAAGCAAGCATATCAAGCTTATTTAATTAAAAAAAGAAAAAACTTATTAAGCTTGTTTTTGTGAAAAAAATACGAAATAAAAAACATAATAACTACCAAACAGTCTCCTATTTACACAGGCTTTTTTTTTCATTCTTTTTCATTTCTACCCAAACTTTTATTTTTTTTTCTTTAGTTCAAACCGAAGATATAGAATGAGAATTTGAATTCATACCATATTCAATTATTATTAATATAATATCAACTTGACATTATTTTATTTAGCTATCTGTTACATCATATTAATTCAGTTAGCCTCCTTAAGAAAAAATATCAGTAAGCCAAAATTATCTAATGATTCAACGAGCATCTCATGGGAAACTTCGTAGGTATTAATGGAAGAAAGAACAAAATGGAAGCAATTTATTTGATGTGGTTGTAGGTTTGTTAGGGGATAATGTTGGGCCCGAGTGGAGCCAGGAATTTTCCATGAGGAGTAAAAGTTTTATCTCCTAACTTTTAAATATATATATATATACAATCTTCACATCCTAAAAATTTAAAAAAATACAAAATATTGAAGCTTATCATTCATGGTTGGTCATACCAGTAGAAATAGAGCCAAAAATTTATAAAGAAAGTTCAAAATTCTGCATTCATTTAAAAAATATAAAAAATCATAAGCATTTTATATATTTTGTTGAGATGCGACAGATTAAATGAGGAGCAATTGTCTCATTTCTCCTTTTTCCTTTGCTCCGTTCTTAGTTATCAACATTATTTAGGAACAATACATGGTTCAACAATATTAAATAACTGTGACAAATAAAATACTAGAAATTTATCGACTTGTTGAGGACGTCGGGATTAGGTTGTTTACAGCTGTGGATATAATAGTATTATAATAAGACAGGAGCATGGGATGGGCATATTAGAGTCTTGGGGGTTGTCTGTTGGAGCTGTAGCTGTAGAGCTGAAGAGAGTGGATTGGATTTGGATTGACTTTGTGCTCTTCATTTCACGCGGTTTTTGTTTTGTCTGTCAATTAACGGCGCCGCTAATTCCGGGTCCGATTGCTTCACGGAGATTAAACGTCAACCCCACGGCGGTGCCCCCGAGGGTCCCTCTTGGCTTCATTGTTTGCAACTCACCTCTCCCGGTGGCCGGTCACATCCACCACGACCACGACCACGCTCTCCTTTTTCCTTATAATAAAATTTATTAAATTCATTTCGTTATTTTCATTATTTTCCATACAATTCAAACGGAGAAACCAATGTGACAATTAAAAAGGAAAAATAAAATAGAGAGGTATGAAAGGACGACACGTGGACGGGAAACGAGGTGAATGGGGGCGGAGTCCAGTTGGAAGTGGACCGGATCCAATGTGGAAAAAGATATGGTAGGGCCCATGAGGGTGGTGGGCCAGAGAGGAGCAGGCCCGGACCTGAAACGTGACCGGCATGTTATTCTTTAATTTTTTATTTTGTAAATTGGGAGAAGTATTTTTCTTTTTGCTGGAGTGAGATAATTAATAATTGTGAATTGGAAGTCAACAAGTCAATGGAGGGGAAAATGCTGAATCAACGGTTTTCAAGGCGCCGCAAGCGCCAAGACAGCGATGTCGGCTTCTAACCGGCTCCGGGCGCCAAATTAACGAAAATGCCTATTTTATTATTATTTTTTTCATTTGCCACGTCACCTCTAAACACACACAAAAGGGACACCCACAAAACTCCCTCATTTACGCTTTTAAATTTTTAATTTTTTTTCCATTATAGTTCTCTTTCTCTCTCTTTCTCTCTCTCTCTCTCGCGCGCGCGGATGAGAAATGGAATTTTTGCAGGGTGCCGGGATCCGCGTTTCTCGATCGCAGAAATCAATTCGGTTGACGGAATTGTTCCCGATTTCGGTGTAGTGTAATCAATCAATCGCCAAAGTCTTCGTGTCCTCTTCCCTGTAAATGCTCTTTTCTATTTTCTTTTCGTTTTTTTTTATTGGCGTTTTTTCGAGGATTTTGGAATGTTATTAGGGTATGGCGGTCTTTTAACTCCCCGTGATCTGCGTTGAATCTACTTCCGTTGTCATTGCGTTTTTTTTTTCATGAAAGAATTTGTTCCGGATCAATGAGTGAGAGGCTTAATTTGTTTTCGATGGGGGATTCTGGGTAAATTGTTACCGGATTTCGAATGTGCAATGTTGTTGCTTCTATTTTTTTTTTTTAATTTTTGTGGAAGTTTTTCATTTCCCCCTTGGAGATCTCGAAAAGTATGTAGCAATGATGGTGATTCGCATCCTTGATGCGTATGATTGGTCGTGTAACTTCTTGTACAAAATTCGCTTTGTTTTTCTAGTGTTCTGCAATGTAGATAGGTGTGCATGTCAAGTGTTTCGTTCGCTTGGTTTTTTATGAGTTTTTTTTTTTTTTGGCAGGACTTGTTTGATTAAATATGAAGATTTAGAATTGGGCGCTGTATATTTTGTGCGAAAGGCTGTTTTGCAATTCTGAGGACGCGGAACACGATGTCCACAAGGAGTGAACATCATACAGTCCCGCTCTCTGTGCTCCTGAAGCGTGAATTGGCTATTGAGAAGATTGAGAGACCGGAAATCATACATGGTCAAGCGGGTCAGAGTAAGAAAGGGGAGGATTTTACATTGCTAAAGACGGAATGCGAGAGAGTGGTCGGAGATGGAGTCTCTACATATTCGGTTTTTGGGGTATGTTCTCTATCTGCTTGAAAAAGATGATGGATTCTTTGGGATCGGTGCTTTACTTTTTTTACATCTATGCTGTATATAGTCTTTCCCCCTTAAGGAAATGAAATTTTGCTGCTTTGGACCTCTATATCAAAAACTGAATTCTTATGTTTGCAGCTTTTTGATGGACATAATGGATCTGCTGCTGCTATTTATTCAAAGGAGAATCTTTTGAACAATGTTTTAGCTGCTATTCCCTCAGATCTCAACAGAGATGAATGGATTGCAGCATTGCCAAGGGCCTTGGTTGCAGGCTTTGTGAAGACGGACAAAGATTTTCAAGAGAAAGGTGAGAGCATCTCCATTTAAACTAAGTTTCCAGACGAGCTGTTTTTCGTTACCTCCTCTAGTCGCTATCAACATTTTGGGAATTGATTGGAGTTCTCACTAACCCTGGAAAGGGAAGATTGTGGATTGGAGTGCATTTTATTTTGTATGAAGAAAAGGTTCCCGAAAAGTTATATCTACCATGTTGGTGCTCTCAAGATATTCTTTTGCATTTTGGCAACTTTAGGTGGAAGAAAACACAAAAAGTAAATAGATTTCTATGATTTTGGTTTGCCTGGCAATAGTCTTGAAAATATATGACTTAACTTTTTCTGCTTGATCATTATAGTTTATTGGCTGCTCCTATGTACAGCGTCTCATTTCTTGAAACTTTTCTTACAAGTGCTGTGCCATAAAAGTTACAATTCTGATATGGGCATTTTAAAAGCCTATAATGTTGATTGTTGCTACTGTTGTTATTCCAGCACAAACATCAGGAACTACCGTCACCTTCATGATCATTGAGGGATGGGTTCTCACTGTTGCTTCTGTTGGTGATTCCCGTTGCACTTTAGAATCAGCTGAAGGTGGTATCTACTACTTATCAGCAGATCATAGACTAGAATGCAATGAAGAAGAGTATGTTGTCACTCATTAATTCAACATTGACTTAGTACTCACTTTTTACATTATTATTGTGCTTAAGATTCTTCAATGTTTTTCAATAGGAGAGAACGTATAATTGCTAGTGGTGGTGAGGTGGGCCGGCTGAATACTGGGGGTGGTGCTGAGGTGTGATTGTTTGACTGAAAATTTTATAAGCTAGTCTTACCTTTCTGTAAGTCCAAAGCCTGACTTTTTGATGCTTAACTTGCGTGTCTTTTGTTAATTTTAGATTGGCCCATTGAGATGTTGGCCCGGTGGTTTGTGTCTATCGCGATCAATTGGTGATATGGATATTGGCGAGTTTATAGTACCTGTTCCCTACGTGAAGCAAGTTAAGGTAGCTTTCTGTCTGTCAATGTAATTTTTCTACATATTATGAATTTAATAAGTTATTTATCCTTGCTTGCTACATAATGATACTATTTTCTATGTAATTGTTTTTTATTTTGAAATTTAGAATAAGGCTTGGCCTATTGAAACACTTTTTCCAAATTATAAATATAATTGCTTTTGTTGGACAGATGCTTGTGCATGGTTGGATACTCCTTAATTTATTATTATTGCTTCTTTTCCCATGTTTTTGCATGTGATCAATGTGTGAACCTTGTTTTTTGATCTTCAACTTTCTTTAGATTTCCATAATAGCTAAATTAATAAGAACTAATTATGTATGAGATTAAAATGGGAGGGGAGGAGATTGGAGCTTTATTTACCGGCTAGTTGTTGGATTATAGGCTATTATGGATAAAATCTTATACTGATTTTTGTCGAACCTGAAGTTAATATGTTATATAGCAATTTTGTCGGTTTGGTTGGATTACATTCGACCAAACCGACGTGGTTTAGAGTTTGTTAGAGATGAGAAAGTATATTAGGGTTTGGTGGTAACTCAGGTGTGCATAACAGAGAGGGGGACTAATGTAACAGTTGAAGGAGAGAGAGTGTGTTATAAATAGTAGGAAGGAAAGAGGGCAAACATACACAATCTTTTGGTGGGTAAGCGCATATTTGATTGGAGGAGAAACCAGGTTCTTGTATTTTCAGCACCCAATAAACTGTTTATGTTCTTTTGGTTATTAGGTTTTCATGTCTTTAATGTTTAATTGAACCGCAACATATTTGTGTAATCTGCAATTTGGAATGTCATCCTTTTGTCAAGTAAATTAATGCTCTAATTTCATCTTGCAGCTATCTTCTACTGGTGGTAGGGTTATTATTTCAAGTGATGGTGTTTGGGATGCTTTATCAGCTGAAACAGCCTATGATTGTTGTCGTGGGATGTCAGCAGAGACTGCTGCTGCACAAATTGTGAAAGTATGGATGGTTACAAATTGATTCTTTTAGTCTTTTTTGTTTCATACAGCTACAGTAACTTTATTATAATTCTATGATGATTTCCAACTAACTGAACATCTTTCTTTTCAGGAAGCAGTGCAGTCAAAGGGACTTAGAGATGATACTACATGTATTGTGATTGACATATTACCAAGGGATAAACCACCTTCTGCTTTACCACCACCAAAGAAGCAGGGAAAGGGAATGTTTAAATCTATGTTCCGCAAAAGGACTTCTGAATCATCTTCTCATTTTGAGAAGGAATATATGGAGCCGGATGTTGTTGAGGAATTATTTGAGGAAGGATCAGCTATGCTATCAGAAAGGTTTGTGATTTAAAAATCAGAGACGTTAAGTTGACTTTGAATTAATTTAACTAGGACATTTTGATGATTGACTCACATGGGCAATTCTGGTTTATTGTCACTTTTCTATGTTATGGTGTTAAATTATATGTCTTATCGTAAATATTCTCCTGACTCTGAACTTATAAAATGCAGGTTAGATGCCAAGTATCCCATCTGCAACATGTTTAAGCTGTTCATATGTGCAGTATGCCAAGTGGAGATCCAACCTCGGGAGGGTGTTTCCATATATGCCGGCTCATCTAACCGGGGAAAATTGCGGGCTTGGGATGGACCTTTCCTATGCTTAAGTTGCCAAGAGAAGAAAGAAGCCATGGAAGGGAAAAGACCATCTGGAGGTCTGTAGATCCTGTGTTTGTGTGTGTAATACTGAGTGTGCATGTTTGTCTTTCTACATCAGTTTTGTTCAGATTTGACCCTAAACAGCTTCAAAATCATTCTTGTGTCTCTGTACAGATAGACACAACAGCAGTGGAAGTGACTAGCCTACTCTTCAGCTACACTTCATTGTGGGTGAACTAAGCAGAGTTGATTGCGATCTTGGAAATGGCGAGTCTTAGAAATTGTCAGAGTTGACCTTCGTCTCAGAAATGGACCCTTCTTGGAGGTTTTCCTCAATTCTCATTGCTGACATTGAGAATTTTGGATCCCTTTTTGGATTCCACGACAAATTCCATTGGGAAATATAGCTCTCTAGTGTTTACTACTCTTCAAGTCAGAAGATGCAGTTAGAGTTGGTTGGTTTGATACCGTTTTCTGACATCGGTTATGATGACATGCTTGCCTCATCTTTGGTGGAAAACTTTGGATAAAGTCGCCTGTATATGACACTGAAGAGTGAAGGTAAAATCATTTATTTTCTCCATTCATCCCATTATCTGCTCGTCCTTCCAACTTACGATGCCACTGAATGAACACATTTGTAACTTAATATATAGGGGAGTTCAATTAGATATTTTTAGCTTACCGTTGGTTAGGAGGAAATCCCTTGCAACACAGCTGTCTAGACGAATTGTTCATATAACATTTGATTATATTCTCTGACATGTCCGAGATGATGAACCATATTAATTGAAAATATTGGCAGTTCTTTTTTATGAGGAAAAGAAAATCCTACAATCCCCATTACTCAAGTTGTTTGTATATATTGATCTCTTCCATGGTTTTCTGCTCTTTGATCTGAATAGACTGGAGAATTCGGTTCAAATTTGGTTATTTAGATATTGACGTATCCTACTTTTTGACCAGTCTTTATTTTGCCAACTCTTCGAATCAATCATTTAATCCGTACACTTGAATCTGGTCTGTGCACTTCCCCTTTTACTAATTGTCTTCTTCACTTTGTTTGTGGGATGGATAGCGCAGCTGTAAATCTAGACGCCCTGACCCGACGCTAGTGCGTTCAAGCAGGGTTGTGGTCACAGGCCACAAGGCAAGAAGTAGACACTGTTTTGGTTGTATTTGGCAGTAGAAGCCAAGCCACACGTGAACTGCAAGCTAGCTAATAGGGACTTGTTATTGTTTTGTGTTTTAGATTTTATTCCTTTAGAGCGTAGAGACGTGAGAAATCTAAAAGTCCCTTTTTCTTTCTTTGACTATTCCTCCCTAACTCTCTTATTGTGAGTCAAGTCGTGTCCGAGTCTAGACGAGTCATATTTAGATCTGATAAAGTGAGAGAAACACACGAGATTTGCATATTTTGATCCTTGGAACAGATTTATGGGTAGTTCGACCCTAAGATACAATTATCATCATGGAGATAGAAATTGAAAGGTTCATTAATAACCCTGTAAATCCAAGTGAGGACAAAGATTCTAAGGACCCATTTACACAAGTCCTGTGCTTTTCCTTTCCCCTTCCCTTGTGATTTGAGATACTCATATCCACTCATCCAATCCATTCACTCACACCCACAGATCCTTAAAGATACTTATCTAATCAAATCCTTTCCCTTTCCCTTTCCTTCTTGGCTTCCAATTAAACAGTGTTTTCTTTGACAAAACAGCAATAATTTTCTGCCCAAAACCCCATAGCTTTAGAGAAGAGAAGAGCAGAGAAGAGCGGTCCAAACACTTCGCACTCAATCCCCTCTCTCTCTCTCTCTCTCTAAATTATTTCTCCATGATTTTGTTGTTGACCTGAGCTTTACAAAATACCTCAAACTAACTCACTCTCTGCTCCTCTCTGTATAGAATTGGACCACCCTTCACACGTGTGTGTAGGTCCACCATCCCACCAAACTGCATCAACATTCTTATCTTCTTTTTCCTTTTTCCCATATTACCATTTCCTCTGTTTTTCCTTTGTTTTCCTCACGTGTGTTGTCGAATCTCTCTCTGGAAATGGTATATTTATAATCCATTGAAATTCCCTTTTTTTGAAGCCATGAACAAGGTTTCATTTCCCAGAATGTTGTCTCGAATGGTTTAATAGGAGCAATTGGTTGAATTTTTAGAGGGTTGAAATGAATGCAGATAGAATGTAACTGTGTCGGTACCACTATGCAAATTATATGTAGTTTAAGAGGAGCACGTGCTGTAACAGTTGATGCACAATCATTTTCTAATTCTTAACAAGTTAATAATTTTGTCCCTACACGACAAAATTTTCTTCATCAGCCTAATTACATTTTTCTTCCCTCTAAAAGATGGAAATATAATAAATAATTAGACAACAGAGATGTTTGGATTGATTAGCTGTGAAAAGGGTCTTTCCCATACCTTACACAAAGATTATGTTGTGCTTGGATTCTCTCCTTTTTCTAATATATAATATATGATGGAAATTTGTTTGTTTATTTATTTATTTCTCAATAGAAAATCTCGAGGCAAACATTTATGTCTGATTATTTAAGTTATGCTTACATCGATAATATTTACTTGCATTAGTATCTTTTGAGCACAAGGTCAAAAAACGAGGGAGTTTTTGGTCATTGTTAGGTAACTGAAATGGTGTCAGTGACCAACTTAAGACAGTTTTGATTGCTGAATTAAAAGGACATCATGGAAAGTTAAAAGACATTACACCCATAATTTCAAATTGATTGACTGACATTACATATCCTCCTCTTGTCATTTTCAATCTAATTTGTCACATATGCCACTTTCCCTTTTGAAAAGATTATCTCCAAATGGGTTTTCTTGTTTATAAACTGTACTCTTAAAATACATAAAATCATAAAATAAGCTATTTCCCAATGATCCCTATGATCAAATATTTATAACCTTAATAGCTGTTGGATTAAATAGGGGCCCACATCAAGAGAAAATGTACTTAAACCAAACTTAAATTGAATGGCTTGCCATTTCCACAAAGGACATTCCATTCTCAGCTTCAGGTAGTCAATAGACAAGATCCCTCTCTCTCTATTTCTCTCTCTCCACTGATTCATAATCTCCTTATCTTACTCCACAAGCTGGAAAAGAGTTAGGAAAGAGAATTTCAGACACTGAAACATGAACACCAATCAGCAGCAGCAGAAGACAGGAGAGAGAGTTGCAGAGTACAAGCAAGAAGCAGAGAAGTTTAAGGTTGAAGAAAGAGAAAGCCAACAGCCAAATCCAGAGCCACCAGCAACTTCTCCTCTTCCTCCCTCTGCTTCCTCTTCTCCTTCCCATGAATTCTCCTTCACAATCTCTCTTCATTCTGCCTCTTCTGATAAAACAAAAGCTGCCACTCCTTCCTTTGCCATTGACTTGTCCCCTGCGGATGACATCTTCTTCCATGGCCACTTGCTTCCCCTTCATCTCCTCTCCCACCTTCCTTCTTCTTCCCCGCGCACCTCGACCAATTCCATCGACAGCTTCACTATCCCAATCAAAGAAATCTGGGACAATGAAGACCCCATCAAAGACAGCTCAAGTTGCAGCACCAGCACCAGCACCACCAAGCACCACGAAACTAGACCTACCGAAACGGGTGGAAGAACCAAATCGAAGCCTTTCTCATTGTTCGGCTTTGCGAAGTGGCGAAAAGGGTTCGAGGTTTCCGAGCACGACGATAAGGCTAAGCACAAGAGGAAGCTGGGGTTTGATGTTAGTCAGGTTCTAAAGCGATATGCAAGTGTGGTCAGGCCGTTGTTGTCCTTCAGAGGAAGGAAGGAGAACTTTCAAATTCGCCGCCAGGCTTATTCGTTTTCGGGTAATTTGAATCCACGAAACAAGCAAGAATTGAGAGGAAGAAGAGGGGAATTTTCGGCACCTGCATCCATGAGGACGTCTCCAACAAATAGCGGCCTTCTCGTCGCGACTCCATCTGCGTCGTCTTCTACTAGTGATAGCACCATGGAAGAATTACAGTCTGCAATTCAAGCTGCCATTGCTCACTGTAAGAACTCCATTGCTAAAGAAGATAAAACCAATGTCAAAAGCTGATATAAACAGTAAATCTTCTTCGCTCGTAAACTCCGATTCCTCATTCATGTACAATATCCATACATAGAGAGAGAGAGAGAGGAAAAAGTGTTCAACTGGTATGCATGGCTCCAAAAGCTCAGAGAAATTAAGTTTGTATTTAATGTAAAAAGCCCATGATTAATTGCTCTATGATTCTTAATTGCGGATTTTGAGCATTTGAATAACTTCCTAGTCTTGCACATAGAGCATGATTCTCCCATGTGTTATTAATACACAGAATGAACGAACCCTTTTACTGTTTCACTATCAGAATCTATAAATGTGGAAGAACAGAGCAGAACATAAACAGAACAGACAATCTTCAGTTCTTTTGCTGACAATGCTAAGCAAAGTTTTGGGCTTTTGAGAAGAACCACAATGCAAGAGAGACTGTTTATTAAGAAAGCTAACATTTCCGAAACTAGATTGAAAAAAGTTCAAAAATTTCCATAAAGTTGAGGCTAGAAATTAGCAATTCCCATATCCAAACTCCTCCGAGAATTGACATATAACAGAACCGTTCCCCACCTCTCTCTCTCTCTCTCTCTCTCTCATCATCATCATCATTATCATCATCCTCTTAACAATACGAATTCCAATCAGTAATACTGGGTTGCAGAGTAAAAGTGAAAGTGAAACTTCACAAGAAATTCACTGTAGGACATAGGGGAAAAAGTTTGTAAGAACTTTAATCCAGAGCCGGGCCAACCCCACGAGAAAAGAGACTGATCTAAAAACAATTTTTCAAGTTTGTGGAAAAAGAGCTTGAATCAGATTTCAGAGTGGGGACAGATTGGAATGGGTTCTGCAAATGAGTCCAACAAAACGAATGATAGCCACAGAATTCACGAAAGAAAAGAGTACCCCCAAAAGTACCATAATAGAAAGAGATAACAATAATTCAAAAGAAGCCCACTCAAAAACTCAAATCAACTTTGACACTTTGAACCCTAACTGAACCATCAAAAATCCAGAGAATGATGATGCTGATGATGATGATGAGCTATATACAATACCTGATTGGCCATCTCCGTAGAATATAAAACAACCCCACATGATCATATCACAACCCAATAGTCCCACACAATAAAGGGTTCCAAGTCTTTTCAACAATCATCGAAAAGGCTTTTGCAGAAACAGAAAAAAAGTGCACACACACAAACAGAGAAGCCAAAACAAAAGGGCTTTGAATTTGCGTCAACAGCGCACGAGTGGGCGGTGGCAGAGCCGCCCGAGCGACGACAGCAAATTGAGGACCATTTGGAATTGAATTGGGGTTCATGATTAAAGTGGCTTACCAATCATGTGAACAACTTCAAAAAGCTTACAACACCCATTTGAACAGAGAAAATTAGGATTCCTTTTTCACAAGTTACACAAAACAAATTCAGAGCAAACAAGTTTCTTTGCTTTTTTCCTTTTTGATCAAGTTGGTTAATCCTATTATCGATGGCGACTCTTAGCATTATGAGCAGTAAAGATTCAAGAAAATGGGGAATGTTGGCCATTCCATACTGCTCGATATGCTTTCTCCTGAATCCGGACATTCGCTTTTATTATTACGTCCATGTTCGAAGTTAGGGCATTTTATTACCCGAAAAAAAAAGTGTAGGTCACTAGAGATTTTTTTTTAATAAAAGGTGTGGAGTGGGATCGAACTCACGACTTCTTAATTAGAAATATATGTAATTACCGTTGAACTATGTTCGCTTTGACTATCAATGATTTGAGATTATTTTTCATGGAGATGCGATTATGATGATTTTTTAAACTTTGGAATATTTTTGCCATTAAATTCCAAGTTTGGTTAACTTGAATTATCATGAAAAGTTTACAACATAAATATATTCCCCATACTTGGTGTAGGAAAGAAAGAAAAAAAAGAAAATTTAGGATCATAATTTTTTTATCCCATATTATCACTTTTTAAAAGATTTTGTTATATATACTTTGGAATTTTGAACAATAAAAGTGGTATATAAAAAGATAATTAGTCTGACTCGTTGGGTTAAGATGGCCCAAATGGAGTTTTGGGCCTACATGAAAGCCCGGACTCGTTTTCTACCTTTCAATTTTTTTAATATTATTTATTATTTTGCGACATATCTCAACGACTTACTATACTCTATTTTAATGAGTTGAAGGCTTAAAATCCTATACCTTATTTTATTAAACTAAAAAAGTATATTATTTATTTTTTTTAGAATGTATCTAATAGTTCCATCTCTTCCATTTTTTCTTCTTCTTTTTCTTTTTTATTCTAATAAGCACTTTTCAAGGAAGTTTCTGTTGTACTTTACCAATATCAAATGCTTTCCACACAAACATTTATTTATCCCTATTAATCCATAATAAAATAAAATTTATCTTGCAATAATTTACAATTTATCATTCACTTTTAAGTAATATATTAAAAAAAACATTTTCATTTTATTAAAAGAAATTTTAAAATATTAATTAGAACCAAACCAAAGTAATTATTTTTTAAGCATATTTTAATATAATTTTTCTATATATATAAAAAGCACTTTTAATAAAACATATATTTTTTAAAAGCATTCTCAAATACAATATTGGAAAGTGAAAAAACCACAATTTTATTTTGTTTTGAAAAAAAATTAATGAGCTGAATACACATTAAAAAATTATAAAAACTTACACGAATCTAAACTCTTAATTAAAACTACATATTCTACCTATATAAACACACCGCCTCAAATAACTTTTCGAACTTCAAAATTATAAAAACTCAAACGTCTTTAAACTTGTGAATAAAAAGAGCCCTTTTATTTAATTGAGGGCAACTTTAATTCCTTATAATATATTTGTATTCCCTTAAGATATAGAAATTATATGTTTATTACAAAAAGGGTAAGAATAAAACTTCATTTTTATTTAATAAGAATGCTTTAGAACCTTCTATACACAAAAAGCAATTGAAATTTAACTAATTAATTAGGCATGAAAACAAACTAACCCTCCCTTTTTTTTTCTTTTGAAAAATATTAACTAAAAAGCCAATCGGTACATCTACCAACATTCCATGAAATTGAATTTTTTACATAAAAAAAAAAAGAAAGAAAAAAACCCTTTAAACATCCCTTGATCACGTGACTTTTTTTTTTTCACCTCATTCTATATACGTAGTAATGACATAATTTTCTTAAATCTCAAAACCTTTGAATTGTAATATTAAAAAAAATGTTTAAATCATTATTATTATGTAAAAATATAGAAGTGAATAGGAGTGTTTTTATTTTTTATTTTTTAGTTCAATAAATTTGATAGCAAGAATCCTACCTCGAGGTGAACTATACTCAAATTAGTATAAATCTAAAATGCTCAAGTCAAAGAGAAATTAAATATATGTTTATTCGAAGCAGTTATATAGTACCGATCATACACGCAATAGCAGAAAGAAAATATAATATTTCCTATTTAAAATTTCAAATGATGGCATATTTACGTTTCTCGGTATAAGTAACGAGAGATTCGAAATCTGTCTCGCTGATGAATCCATCTCTATCGGAATCGGTGTGGAAGAGGGCGTGGGAAGCTCTGTAGGAGGGGAGAAGTGAGCCGATGTAGCGGAAGGCTTCGGTGAGCTCGTTGGCGTTGAGGCACCCGTCGCCGTCGCGGTCGTGGTTTCTGAAGATCTGGCTGAGCTGCTCTCGCGACAGCTTCGGCCGGTACTGCTTTCCTTTGCGACCCATTGAGATCTCCAAAAGTACTGCTTCCGAGCTAAGAAATTAAATACTACAATGGCCTCTCTCTCCTAATTTTTCGTTGCTCTTGGGACTTGCTCTATTGCGGCCTTCTCCACTTATTACATATTTATAGAGAGGCTGATGTGGGAAAATTAATCTGTTTGTGAACTCAATTTGGACTTGTTTGGCTCACATGCATGTGTGTCTGTAAGTTGAGATTCCAAAAGCTACAAATTCAATTCTTTCGGTTTTTTGGAAAGGGGGAAGTAAAAGTTAAAAGAAAAAAATAAACAAAAATACCCAAGTGCTTAGGTCGGCCTCGAATAAAAATTTTTATTCGGGTTTTTATTTACTTATCGAAAATTTATATTAAAAAAATTGTACATAATAGAGTCCTTCACATCTTACCACATTTAATTCTTTCAAAAATTCAATAGAACAAGTAGAATTGAAAATCAGCTTTACTCAAAATCTACTTCAATAACAGTAAAATGGCATTGTGACATGGGTTTTAACTTCTAACTCTCATA